AATTTTCAATCATTGATAAAACATTTTTTTATTTTCATCCAGTCAAGTTCAAATACATTTTTTAAAACTTGTAGTGGGTGACACTTGATGTTTAGTACAGTTTTTTCAAATATTAATTCATTAATTAAATTTAATTCAATAATTAGAGTTTAAGAGATATATTTCAGTCGATATTATTCCTCTAAATGGCAGAACCATTGGATAAAACAGCTTTTGTTAAATTTGTGAAGACTTAACTGAACCTGAATAAAATCATATGCTAGTTAAATGGCAGCGTTCCTTTTACACTGATTTTAAGATAAATTCTTACCTGTTGTATTAAACTTTTATTAAAAAATGCAATTACAAATTAAATGTTGTTAAAAAGTTTTAAATGTTAATTTAAAAGGTGTTTTGCCATATTGTGATTCTGTCATATGATATACATATTTATATTATTTGTATTTATTTAATAAAAAGTAACTAAAAAATAAAATTTTTCTTTGTTGACCTAAGTAGGAATTGCCTTTGAAATTCTTTTTTTATTACTTGTTTACATTTATTTTTTTATTTTTCCCGTAGATTTTTTTTTTGCATGCATACTTGGATAAACTTTTTTTTTCTGCCTCTCCACACTCTGTTGTAGCTGAACAGTGCGACGTTAATATTCACTCATTCATTCCATACTCTGTTTAAAAGGGATTTTACAAACATTCCCGAAACACAGTTTTACTCTTTATAGATCCATTCATTATTTACATAATAGAATAAATAGAGTATATTTGAGTTAAGTTGAGATGTAAAATAAATCAGGATCAAAGAATTCATAAAAGACAATATTATGAAATGAAAACATTCAATCTCATGAAAAGAACAGCATCTGTATGGTAAAGAATGAATTGCCAAAGATCACGGTAAAACAAAATTATTCCTCAAATTCTTTTATGCATCAAAAGTATTTTTTTAAAACATTAATTATTCGTGACATTCATATTTCGATCCAATGCAGTCCGAATAATTAAAAAATTTAGCCATCTAGCTTTGGAAAATACGACCTAAATGAGGAGCTGGGAATTAAATCCAACGTTTCAATCGCACATGAAGCGCGTTCTGTGTCGATCACCCCCCCTCCCCCTCTTCCCCATTAACAGCGCTGACACTCGCTGATAATGGACTGCCGCCGCTACGAGTGTCAAATGTAATGAATTGGGTCACTATCGGGTGGTTTGCTCCCATTCTGAGTAATGTTTGAAGTCCCATCGAAAATTGCCGCAGAATCATTTAGTTCCTTTTTTTGTTTTATCCCTTCGCTATGAGAATTATCCGCTATAATTTGACCCTTTTCTCTCAAATCAGAATAAATAACAGTTCAAAATAATTCGTAACAGGTTATCAGGACTTCAACTACTCCTGTTCATGACGTTTTGAATAAGATTTCCGTGTCAATTAATTGATTGTTTTCATTAACATCTCACACTACAAAGCTACACTAAGGCTATTAGTGGCGGACTTCGCAATTTTCAACTTTGGTCGTGTGACGAAGACGTTACATGAGCTGGCACCTACTTTTCCTAACTTCCACACCACACTAACGGGAGGACGTATGAGCATCGACAGATGTAACGTGCAGCGGCCTTTTATACACGACATGTCTTCAGTGAGACTAGGCTCGAACACATGACACCAGCCACGAGTCCAAGACCTTGACTACCAGGCTACCATGACCACATTGAGGCTCACAGCCCTCCCGTTGGCGTGATGTTGAAGTTCGGAGAGAGGTGTATCAGCTCAGTTGTCGTTCTCTTCACTTAACCAAGGTTCAAAATTTTAAGGTTCGTCACCTGTAGCCCTCTTTCTTTCTTAAGGTATCCGACAACGTTCGGAACCTTGATTTTAGAAAAGCGCATAAATGGATAATTTTTACGATATTTAATGTCACTTAGATTAGAATACATGTATAAAATTGTTTTTATAAGGACATTTTGACAAAAAAAATTATTTAAATACAATATTTCATTAAAAAATTAACTTTGAATAACCTTTTTCCAAAATGTTCTTCTTTTGTGAAAAATGGTTCTATTATAATAATATTTTGCCTGTATATAGCTTAGACCTCTGTACAGAGGCTCAACTATGATTTTTCAAAAATTTACATTATTTTCAGAGTTACAACCCATTAAAATAATTATCGGCGTTTTTTTTCTAAAATTTCTTCCCTCTGTTGTCGTAAAACATGGATAAACCCACTTCTAAGTGACATATTTCAAAAATTCTAGTTGAGCCTCAGGTCTGAGCTATATACAGGCAAAATATTATTATAATAGAAGCATTTTTCACAAAAAGGAGAATATTTCGAAAATGGGTCATTCTGTGTTCATTTTTCGTCAAAATATTGTACTTAAATATTTTTTTATTGTAATACAATTCTTAAAACAATTTTATATACATTTTCTAATCTAAGTGACACTAAATATCATAAATATTATTCATTTATACGCTTTTGCAAAATCACGGTTCCGAACGTAGTCGGATACCTTAAAATACAGATTCCTTAATTTAAAACTGAAGAGTAAACTAAAGTTGAAAAGTATCACCAGGATATGGTGGCGTCAGCTCTAGATTATTGTTGTTTCGGATGTATTTGTAAGATTGCTCGAGAGTAATACATTTTTCCCTCTCTCTTGCCGTATATGTTTTATTCCAATTATTATTTTAACTTTGTACATTTGTATTATGTAATTATGTATGTAAATTGTGAGTTTGATTTGTGTTATATAATAATGTATGTATATTGTATATTTACTTTTAATTTGTATTATGTAATTTTGTATGTATATTGTGAATTTTCCTTTAGTTCGTATTATGCACTCGTAATTATGTATGTATACGAGGAGTGACACAAAAAAACGAGACTGTTTCAATAAATCCTTGTACGTACAGAGTCAGTTCTACTTGACATTATAACCTTCAAAGTAGTTCCCTTCAGCATTCACACACTTCTGCATTCGATACTGTCTTCATCATCCACACTGTCCCTTCCCTCTGGAAACCGCCTATGCCATTCAGATACCTGTGCACGAGACAAAGTTTCATGTCCATAAGCTTTGGTTAATATTTGACATGTTTTCGTGGTTAATTTCCAAGTTTCACAAGAAACGATGTTAATTCGACATTTCCCGGAAGAATGCAGTTGCACGTGTTCCTTCAATGACGCAGTACTCCCAACTGGCGTAATCGGTCAAGGCAAAAGTGGCCACATGGATAGAGGAGGGGTGTGGGATGATGTTATCAAAACAGTTATTGCCAACTCCACTCTTTTTTCAAGATGCAGACATAGTCTCGTGTTTTTGTGTCACACCTTGTCTTGTGAATTTACGTTTAATTTGTAAAACGTAAAATTTTCTGTGTACTTCTGTAAATTTGGAAATTAAAATTTTTGATCAAAAAAGGCTTAACGTAGGGGGTAATTGTTTCCCGAGGAACCGGTTTGTAGCTTTAAACCCCTTTCGGATGAGTTCGGTTCCCTTGGGTATTTTGCCACTAACCCTGGTGTTGCTGTACAGTACGACGTTAATAATGTTGCGAAATGCGAAACTCCCATCTGTATTTCCGTTTTGCGCAAGCCCGCACGGAATGAAATGAAGTGAAATGATGTCATGTTTTTTTCTCTCTCTGTTAACTGTTTTGCTGTTCGCGCGTTATGTGTTCTTTCGTTTTGTCGCGTAGTCATTGTGTAACTAACGTATATATGTTTAAAATTAAAAATAGATGAGTGTATGTCAAGATTAGGATTCTTCATTTGATTCATTGTGATTTATTATGCCTCCCCCGAACGAAAAAAGAAGATAAAAAGATCCCGGATTTTTTAAAGAAGGTAAGCCCAATTTACTTACCTCAAATGAATACCTATATTTAGGTATAATAATATTGCTTTGGGACACAATAAATAAAACACTCCCTCACATCCCCTCGAGAAAAAGAATGCATCTCCAGAATTGACCCAGATCTTCTCTCACAGTCATGAATGCACGAATTAAATTTCAAACTCTGCTACAATAAACGAATAATGGAAAGTATACTATTTATTATAACTCTTTCTTGCATATTTAGCGTTGAAAGAGTTTATCTTTATTTGAAATTTTAAATCTCTCGCTCATTAATAGGGCTGTAAATGAGACATTGCCTCATCCGACTCACTTCAATGTTTCTTTTGAGGTTTGGAGGCTTTCCAGCTTATATAAACGAACGTTGTTTGAGGTAAATCTCTTCCGACACAAACCTGATGCGAAACCCCGAGGGAAATCAGCGACACCGACATTTCTGAAACATTCCCAGAGACGCGACAGAAAGTTTTTTTGCATCATTAAACGACTCTCAACTAAATAAACGATTCACGAAAACTAAAAAGAAGTGAAGATAAATGAACTGGGCTCTTTGAGCTAAAACTG